CTCTAGAGGACAACTATTTCTATAGGCGAGCTCTAGAGGACGACTATTTCTATAGGCGAGCTCTAGAGGACGACTATTTCTATAGGCGAGCTCTAGAGGGCGACTATTGCTATAGGCGAGCTCTAGAGGGCGACTATTTCTATAGGCGAGCTCTAGAGGGCGACTATTGCTATAGGCGAGCTCTAGAGGGCGACTATTGCTATAGGCGAGCTCTAGAGGGCGACTATTTCTATAGGCGAGCTCTAGAGGGCGACTATTTCTATAGGCGAGCTCTAGAGGGCGACTATTTCTATAGGCGAGCTCTAGAGGGCGACTATTTCTATAGGCGAGCTCTAGAGGGCGACTATTTCTATAGGCGAGCTCTAGTTATGGAGGTCGTCTATATTCATAGGCGAGCTGTAGAAGGCGTCTATCCTTTTAGGATATCTTTCAAGGGCATATATCCCTTTAGGTAAGCTCTAGATGCCGTCTATATCTATAGGCGAGCTCCGGAGATCGTCTATCCCTGAAAGCTCTTCCATATTTAAAATACATTCTAATTCTCTTCTTCTATAGCCAGAAGACATTCCGAAGTTCTTCTATAGCTACAAGACATTCCGAAGTTTTTCTATAGATATAAGACCTTGTGAAGCTCTGCTATAGACAAAAAACATTCCGAGGCTCTATTATAACAAGAAGACTTTCTGAAGCTCTTCTACAGCGAGAAGACTTTTTGGAGCTCTTCTGTAGCTAGAAGACCTTTTAAAGCTCTTCTATATACAGAAGTCCTTTTTATGCTTTTCTATAGCTAGAACACCTTCTTAAGCTCTTCTAGGGCTAGACGACTTTTTGAAGCGTTTCTATTGCTAGTAGAATTTTTGAAGCTCTTATATAGCTAGCAGACGTTCTGAAAATCGTCTATAGCTTGAAGGTCGTCTGAAACTTTTCTATACACAGAAGACGTTCTGAAGTTCCTCTATACACAGAAGACCTTCTTAAGCTCTTCTATACACAGAAAACCTTCTTAAGCTCTTCTATATCTAGTAGACCCTCTAAACCTATCCTATAGCTGTAGCTAGAAGTCTTTCTGATGCACTTCTTTGGCTAGAAGATTTTCTGAAGCTCTTTTATAACAAGAAGGCCTTCTGAAACCTTCCTATTCTTCCCAAAATATAACCTCATTTGAAACTCTAAAGTTCTTTCATAGACAAGAGATTTCCTGAAGCTATTCTATACCTAGAAAACCTTCTAAAGCTCTCCACTTACCATACACGATCCCTTGCCCTTTACATCCATGGCGCAGATCTCATTTTGTGTCACCTTAAAGCCACGTCTGCTACATTCCGAGTTCGATATGGTTTGATATCTTAACTCCTGTAACTTTTCCGGTAAACCAGTATTTGGCCTGGGCGATGTCGAACCCCAACCCGTTATACGAACATTTACCTTTTCTCCTATCCGATTCGTAGAACCCAGATGTATGGTACTAATCGTCGATTTGTGTAAATTAAATGCTGGTGATACCTTCAGTATGGCCACATCATTGATTATCTTTGAACTCATTGAAAACTGCGGATGTTTACGTATGGACACGGCCCGATGGCGATCACCACCTTTGGCCCAAGTCAAAGTGCCCGCCACAATGTGTATTTCCTGGGGTTGCATTTTATCCACACAATGGGCGGCGGTCAAAACATGATCCGGAGTTATTATCGAACCACCGCAGAAGTGATGCCAACGATTGCGACGATATGCCTGCAGCGATACCTGATAGGGAACAATTTGGGTAACGGTGACGCCGCCATTGACCCGAGAATCATTGTATTTCGAATTGAAATTATTGTTCCAAGCTCTTAGTAGATTTTCAGTTTCCTCCTCGGTTACAGTGGAGAATTCCAAATTATCCTCCACCTCTGTTGTGAGATTTTTTGCATCCTCCACCGCAAGAATTCCAATGCAGATGAAAGCCAACGCAAAAATAATTGTGTGCATTATGTTCCGGTTTTATCAATCTTCTTATCTGAAACGCCACTGAATCTTGTGTCTGCATTGAAGATCGTTTTTATACGTTCCAAATACTCATCTCAATGAGTACGTTCGGGCGCGATATTTAGGTCTCTGTTTTCAAATAAAATAAGTGAAAGTTAAATTTTTTGGATTTATTTTTATTTAAAGAATTTCAGCTCGAAGTGGGTCACAAAAGCTTAATACGAAGAATCCAGTTCTGCGGAACTAAAAATAAATATTGTTTACAAAGTCATGCAGAGGAAGGCATGTGTGAGATACACTTTTCGCGAATATGAGCAACAGTCTTTATCTTCGGCAGGTCGGAATTGTAAATACTTTGCATTTTGGGAAGCGTTCTATGTCGGGCTTCCATAGAAGACTTTTTAACGGTTGTTCTATTTTTAGACAACCTATTGGAAGATATTCGATCTATAGCAAATTTTAAGCATGGTCTTTAATAAATATGCAGTGGTCTTTAAGTCATAAAATGCTTTAGGAAGCCTCCTGCTCCTTACTGAAAAACTTTATAAGCTATTCTAGCTCCAAAAGGTCTTCTGGCTTCAGAAGGGGTTCTATTTTAAGTCTAACAGCTATTGAATAACTTTGGGACGTTTTTTTCTAGAGGCAACCTTAGTGGACTCATGTGTAAAGAATCTTAGTATGGGAGAGGTAACCTTCTGGAGCTTTCCAATATAAAAGAGACACTCTGTAGGTGGTTTAGCTCTTCTATAGATATAAGACCTTCGGAAGCTCTTCTATAGATAGAAGAAAGCTCTTATTCGCACAGAAGATCTTCGTAAGCCCTTCTTCTTTGAACAGAAGATCTTCGGAAGCTCTTCTATGCACAGAAGACGGACTGTGGAAGCTCTTCTATAGCTAGAAGACCTTCGGAAGCTCTTCTATGCACAGAAGACCTTCTAAAGCTCTCCTATACACAGTAGACCTTTGGAAGCTCTTCTGTAGCTAGAAGACCTTCTACAGGTCTTCTATAGCAAGAAGACCTTCTACAGGCCTCCTATAGCTAGAAGACTTTCTACAGGTTTTCTATAGCTAGAAGACCTTCTACATGTCTTCTATAGCTAGAAAACCTTCTGTAGATATTTTAAAGCTTGAAGACCTTTGAAGCTCCTCTATAGCCAGAAGACCTTGTGTAGCTCTTCTATAGCCAGAAGACCTTGTGTAGCTCTTCTATTGCTAGAAAACCTTCTGAAGCTATTCTATAGCTGGAAGACCTTCTGAAGGTATTCTATAGCTAGAAGATCTTATAAAGCATTTCTATAGCTAGAAGACCTTATAAAGCTCTTCATAGCCAGAAGACCTTCTAAAGCTCTTATATAGCTAAAAAAAAACCTTCTGAAACTCTTCTACAGCCAAAAGATCTTCTGCAGCTCTTCTACGGTAAGAAGACCTTATGAAGTTCTTCTATGGTTAGAAGACTTTATAAAGCTATTCTATTGCTAGAAGACCTTCTGAAGCTCTTCTGTGGTTAGAAGACCTTCTGAGGCTCTTCCATAACTAGAAGACCTTCTGAAGCTCTTCTATAGCTGAAGCACCTTCTTAAGATTATCTTTGACTAGAAGACCTTCTGAAGCTCTTTTGTGGCTAGAAGTCCTTCTGAAGCTCTTCTGTAGCTAGAAGACCTTTTAAAGCTCTTCTAGACACGGAAGACCTTCCAAAGCCCTTCTACAGCTAAAATACCTTCTCAAACCCGTCTAAGGCTAGAAGACCTTCCATAGTTCTTCCTTAGCTAGAAGACTTTCGGAATTTATTCTATAGAAAACAGACCTTCTGAAGTTCTTCTTTAGAGGCATTCAAATTCCTACTTCCCCTTAAACAACTTTTAGTTTACAATCCATGTCATATCAGCCGCCGTGTCTCAGCCGTCTCTCTTCCAACTGTAATTACATGCCATTACGTCATTAGCGTCTGATTATTTCCACGGGGCCTCTTTAATTATTATTTTAATATTTTAGTATAACACAAACAAAACGTGACATCCTTTTCAGGACAGCTAACATTAATTTGTTGTCTCATAAGCTTTTTGTGATGAGCAAACATCCTTTGTGGCTTTGACTTGACGTTACACACACATTATGAACTAATCTCCTCAGCAAACATATTAAAGGGCGCTTTGCTTGGCATACATACATTCTGTATTTTTTCCTTGTTCCTGTTTACTTGGCGTGTATCCTTTGAGATATTAAGCCTTCGTTTCCGACACACAAATTGTTAAAACAAAGATATGTGTGTGTTCTTCGGAATAAGCTTTGATTGGCACACCACCACATGTAAGAGAGTTGTGGGACATAATAACTTTTGACATGGAGCAGTGCATGGGTTAGAAACTATAGGTTAGAGACCGATAGGTAAATGACACACTTGAGATGCGGAAAATTAAATTCTGAGGCAAAGAGGATGTAGAAAAAGATTTGTGGAAAATATGGATCCGAAATATTGATATTCATTTATTTTTAGACTATCCAGCTTTAATATTTGCTTTTAAGTTCAAATCTCTTAGATAAACTATGGCTCAGGCTATGCTTCCATAAATCTGCTTCGCTTTGAGAAAAACTAGATGCTATAATAGGATATACTTCCACTCCTAATTCCGACAAAAATTATGATTATCCACATTTATGTCAAAAATTAAATTTTGTGATTTTCAACAACAACATTTCAAAAACAATTTTATTTCGGAGCCGCAAATGTTCCGTCTCTGTTTTATTCTAATCAACATTCTTGGCAATCACTTCACTTCTCCTCAAACAAAACCTGCCCATATTAAGAACGATGTGGACCTTGTGGCAAAATCAGTTACATTTCTCGTTTCAATACAACTTCGCCAAATTGGAAATGAAACCAAACATCAATGTTTTGGAACAATTGTTCACAAAGAAATAATTCTGACAGCTGCCCATTGCTTTCAAAGAAGTGAAAATCCCAGTGATTATGTCGCCATATTGAGCAACAGAACAGAACCTATCAAGGTGCTTTACAGAATCTCTCATTTTGTTAAGCATTCGCAATTCTATCCATTACAAGGTCATGATATTGCCTTGGTGAAATTGGCGAAACCCTTAATTCTAGAGGAGGGTAATATTCAAAAAATCAAATATGGAGCTAATAATGAAATAGAGGAGATGGGCTATGTTATTGGTTCCAGTGATAATGAGAATCGAAGAGAAGGAGTTGGAGATAATTTCGCCTTGAAAATCATACCGCATCGCGTCATAAGCAATGAGATGTGTCGCCAAAGAAAATTTAGTTTTCTTACTTCAATGGAACTGTGTGCCGTAGCCCAAGGATCGATGGGACCATGTGAGGTAAGTAAATTAAATAGCTTAAAAATTATAAAGAAGAGCTTCAATTGATTTCCGAAGAGGTCTTCTATGCATTGAAGTACCTACAAATAGGTAGAGAAGCTTGAAAACGAGTACTAGCCTTAGTATAGCTTTTAAAGCTCTGACATCTATACAAAAGCTTCAGAAGGTCTTTTATTCATAGAGGAGCTTCAAAATGCCATTCAATAACAGAAAAAAGTAGAAAATCTTTGATATATACAAGAACTTGAGAAGGTATTTTATGTATAAAAAAGCCCAAGAATCTCTTCCATGCCTAGAATACCTTTTGATGCTCCCCTATGGATTTAAGATAATCTGGAGCTTTCCTATACATAGAACACATTTAAAGTATAGATGAGCTTTGATTTGTTCCCAAAAAGATTTTGTTTATCTGTGGAAGGAAGTACGACTATATAGGAGAGCTTGTAACAATATTAGAGCTTTGGCAGGACTTCTATCTATAAAAGACCTATAGATGATCCTGCATTATTAGATACGCACCCAAAGACCTCTCATCGACAAAAAAAATCTCAGAAAATCGTCATTGTATAAAAGAAGATACGTTTAACTATAAAATAGCTTCATTTTTTATCTGTAGAAGCAGCTACGAATATAGAGGAGAGCTTTTAACGATGTTAGAGCTTTGACAGGTCTTCTTTCTGTAAAAGAGCTTCAGAAGGCCTTATATTGAAAGAGGAGCTCCCAAAGGGGTTCAATTAACAGTAAAACCTTTAGAAAAACTCCATTTTATAAAAGAGCTTCGGAAGGTCTTTCGAAGCTTCTAAATCTCCTACTTCTTTTATACGTTTGAAGACATTCTGCAGCTCTTCTATACGTTGAAGGCTTTCGAAAGCTCTTTTATCCAACGATAATCTTCTTAAGCTCTTCTGCAGATACAAAGCATGTCAAATCTCTACTATAGCAATAACTTATTTTAACCTCTTCTATATCTTCGAATGCTATTCCATAGAAAATATACCTCAGTAACCAAATGCATCTCTATAGAAGAGCTTTCATAGGTCTTTTAGTTTAAGAAGTTATTGAAAAGGTCTTATGTTCATAGAGGAGCTTTAGAAGGTTGTATATGGATAAAAGAGCTCCGAAAGGCTTCTACCAAAACAAACATCGCAGAAAGCTTTCTGTGTATAATAGAGCTTCCGAAGTTCTTATATGTATCCTTCCATGCGAATAATATATTTTGGATCTTATATATGTATATAAGACCTCCTAGAGCTTTCATGTGTATAGAAGATCTTCTGGTGCTGTTGGTTGAAGCCGTTTTGCACATAGAAAACCTTCTACAGAATACTTTTTGAAACTTTACTTTTTCTAGAATACCTATCCGTATAAGAGCTTTAAAGGGTCGCCTATCTACAAAAGACCTTAAGAAGGTCTTTTATGCATAGATTATTTTCATGGAACCTTTTATTTATAACATTTATTCACAAGGCCTTTCAGTCATACATTAACTTTGCAGAATATTCTAACAATAGACGAGCTTCAAAAGCTCTTTTACATACAGGAAGCTTTAAAAATCGATCTCAAGACTTTGAAGCTTTGGCTAAACTTTTAAAGGTCTTATATTTAACAAGATTCGGAAGGTCTTCAAAACATAGAAGAGCCTTAGAAGGTTTCATAACTGTAGAAGAGATATACATGACCTTTTTCCTATAAGAAGTTTTCACAGGTATTGAGAGAAGACCTTCAGATTTTTTTCTAGCTTTGAACTACCATCAAAAGCTTTTTCTTGCTTTGAACACAATTTAAAAGGCCTTCTAGCTTTTTTGCACACCTTCTAGGCTTTAAGACTGTTATTTAATCAAAAAATATCCTTAGAAGGCCCTACATCTATAGAAGAGATTCACGAGGCCATTTATATAGAAAATAGGTTTGCAAGGTATTCTAGCTATAAAAAAGCTTATAAGGACCTTCGAAATCTTTTCTAGCCAGCGAAGGCCTTAACAAACTTTTCTAGCTTAAAAAGAGATTTAAAAGCACTTCTAGAATTGGAAATGTTCCTCCAGCTGGAGACAACATTTAATAGCTTTTATATAGGTTTCAAAAGCTCTGCTAACATTAGATGTCTTTTACTAGGCCTTTAAGCTTTAAATACATTTAAGAAGTCTTATAGGTTAAAAAATATGTTAAAAGCTTTTTTAGCCTTGGAAGTTTTTGAAGATATAATAGATATAAGGGCTTTACAAGATCGTTTATATATAAACTAGCTTCCGAAGTATTCTTTCTATAAACAAAAAAAACGCTTTCTCAAATTTTGATAGTCCTCCCAGGCCTTCAAAATTTAAAATCCACTAGGAGGTCCTTAGACTTTAGAAGTCATTTAAAAGTTTTTTTTTTCAAATGTCTTAGCTATAGACTCCCTCAACTGGGTTTCGATTAAACCTTATAAAATTTATTCTAGTTATTAAATTTCTCAAAAGCTGTTCTGGTCACCTAACTATTGTGGACCCTCATAATGTTCTTCTAGCTATGGAAAATCTATGACCTACAAAGGAATATTTAAACGTCTTCCAGCTATTTTGCTTCACAATTTCAGGGTGATTCCGGTAGTCCTTTGCTCAACTCAGAGATGAACCTGCAGTTTGGAATTTTGTCCTACAGTCGATCAACCTGCAAGCCAAATAGGATTTATGTCTTTACCCGTATCGAGCCATTTCTGGAATGGATTAACAGAACCATGACTAAACTTCTAAGCTAAGATGACGGATTCAAATTCAAAGAGAGAGGAAGACCTGTCATTTGTAAGAACGAAACAAAAAAAGCTTCTAAGAACAAAAACAAATGTTTTCAAATTTTCCAAAAATTTCTAATAAATCATTTTTACTGACAAATTCACAGATATTCCCTTGCCAAGTTGTTTTGGCAGAAAAAAAATCACAAATCATTCTTCTCATCATCGTCGCCACAACATTCGCTGAGGAAGAAGTGTGGATAACTATTTCGATAAAGATCCAAAAATCACCGGAATCTGCTTCTCCTTCTTCAAACGGTCTAAGAATTGCTTTTCTCACAAGGAGTGATTCCTAAGAAATATTAACAAAAAAAAATAAATAAAACCAAATATGCAAGCCTTCACAGCCAAGCCATAAACTAAGAAATTCTAACTTTATCGCAATCTCCAAAAAAAAATACAAACGAACGGCCTTTTGTTGCTGTTGTTTTTTTTTTTTCTCCTCTCTGCAGACAAAAAAGCCATTCTGCATTACTGGCGAACAAATTCAAAAGAAACTCCAAGCAAACGATAACTTTATTACTGTGAAATTTTCATGCTGATTTAAAATACAAATGGACAAAAAAGAGCAATTCTTTTTCCATTCCGCCGGTGTTTCCAGGTTACTAACTCCCGCCCGTTCGTCTGGTGGGTTATGAAAATCGCCACAGAATGGCAAGGCCTTTTTTAAAGTGTAATGGCATGTGGCTAAGATGCCATGAAGATGCAAAGTATGTTTGTGTATTTGTATGTGTCTGGCTCATGCACATATGTACATAAAGATATGAAATAGGGGATATGTTTTGGCGTTCCATAATCCACGATTATGACTATGATGATAATTTAAGAAATAATTTAAAAAAAGATCAGGATTACTCCTCAGAAAGATTTTGAAAAATAAAAATCTTTTTTTTTAAATCCAGGATTTTGGCTCAGTAAAATATTATAAAAATCCTAATAAGTTTTTATAAAAAATTTGGATTATGGCTCAGAAGGTCCCTGAAAAAATGTTATAAAAATCCTAATTATTTTTTTAATAAATCGGGGATTATGGCTCAGAAGGTACTTAAAAAAATTCTAATTATTTTTTTTTAAACCGAGGTCCTTGAAAAAAAATTTTTTTAAAAGACTTATGTTTATCCTTGATCCTTGAAAAAAATATTTTTTTAAAAATCCACGTTTATCCTTGGTCCTTGAAAAAAATATTTTTTAAAAATCCACGTTTATCCTTGGTCCTTGAAAATTTTTTTTAAACTCCACGTTTATCCTTAGTCCTTGAAAAAAAAATTCTTTAAAAATCCCCGTTTATCTTTGGTTCTTGATTTTTTTTAAATCCACGTTTATCCTTGGTCCTTGATAAAATATTTTTTAAAAAATCCGCTTTAATCCTTGGTCCTTAAAAAAAATATTTTTGAAAAAAAATCCACGTTTATCCTTGCTCCTTGATAAAATATTTTTTAAAAAATCAGCTTTAACCTTGGTCCTTGAAAAAAATATTTTTGAAAAAAATCCACGTTTATCCTTGGTCCTTAAAAAATATTTTTTAGTCCTTGAAAAAATATTGTTTATAAATTCACGTTTATCCTTGGTCTTGAAATTTTTTTTAAAAAAAATCCAAGTTTTTGCTTGGTTTTTGAAAAAAAATGTTTCTAAATGTTTATCCATGTTTATCCTTGGTCCTTGAAAAAAATATTTTTTGAAAAATCCACGTTTATCCTTGGTCCTTGAAAAAATATTCTTTAAAATATCCGTGCTTATCCTTGGTCCTTGAAAAAAAATGTGTTTAAAAAATCCACGTCTATCCTTGGTCCTTGAAAAATTTTTTTTTTTTAAATCCACGTTTATCCTTGGTCCTTGAAAAAAAATTCTTTAAAAATCTACGTTTATCTTTGGTCCTTAAAAAAATATTTTTTTTTAAATCCACGTTTATCCTCGGTCCTGAAAAAACATGTTTTAACAAATCTACGTATATTTTTGGTCTTTGAAATATATTTTTTAAAAATTCCAGTTTATCCTTTGTCCATGAAAAAATATTTATAAAAAAACCCCGTTTATTTTTGGTCCTTGAAAAAATATTTTTAACAGATCCACGTTTATTTTTGGTACTTAAAAAAAAAATTAAAAAATCCACATTTATCCTTGGTTTTTGCATTTTTTTAAAAATCCATGTTTATTTTGGTCCTTGAAAAAGTATTTTTTTAAAGTCCATGTTTATCCTTGGTCCTTAAAAAATATTTTTTTTAGTTCTTGAAAAAATTTTATTTAAAAATCCACGTTTATCCTTGGTACTTGAAAAAAATATTTTTTTAAAAATTCAAATTTATCCTTGGTCTTTGAAAAAATATTTTTTAAAAATTCCAAGTTTATCCTTGGTCCTTGAAAAAATATTTTAAAAAAGGCCACATTTGTCCCTATTGAAAAAAAACATCATCCATTTTGTAACACCCTTTTCCAAGTATTAAGAAATTGTTATGGTTTCTTTATGTGCGATCATGGCTTTTTAGTTATGAACATTATTTTTATTTTTGACCATGGCCAGAATGCTTGGTCTGTGGTAGGAACTCTAAATGTGTGTCTGTGTGCGTGTGCATCTGAGTGAATGCATTTTAATCATTTTGATCAACAGCGTCAAAAAATCCTGCGTCAACAGTTTTATTGTTCGGTTGATGTTGTGCCGCCACATTTGGACACATTTTTTAACAAGTTTATTATCAGCTTTAATGTATCTGGCCAGTGGCATTGTTGTTGTTACTGGGAAGAATTATTGTGTGGTTGGTCAATTTTTGTCAAGGCGGCAACCTTGCCGACTGACAGACACCTATGCGCCATCATTTACTTGGCATTCACAAAAATACCTTCCTTTTTGACAATTTTTCCTTCCTCTTTATTAGTTTTTTCCTAAGAAATCCTCCAAAAAATGCAACAGACTGCGTGTGGCCACTTTTCGGAACCTGATGATTTTTATGGCGATATTTAAGGTGATTTATGTCATGTGATTTTGTGTGTGACTGAACGGAAAGTCCATTCAATCTGCACGCAGTCTACAACGTTTCGATGATCTCAATGTCGTTAGGCAATTTGATTTGTTTTTTTTTACGGCCCCCAAAAACGGTAGCCAACATTAATGGTCTCGTGCTTACGATTGACATCAGGGTTAAGCCCCCACAATTTTGGGTTTTTTGTTCTCTTTATTTGTTTGGTGATCTTCTAATTCATGCCAACGAATTTTCAAACGAAATGTATGTAAATTTTGTTAGATTCTCGGACGTTGTGAATGGAGGTTGGGTATGACTTTTTTTCGCTCAAGGTGTGTTTGGAGGTTCGATGATTTATTTGCAAAGCTAAAGCATGGTCTTGTTGGTTTGGTTTAGTTTCAGGAATATTTGCTAAAGAACCACAAAAGCGTGAAATTAGTATTTTTTTAAGAATATATTCAGAAAATTTTCCAAGTACTGCAACGGAATGATACGAGGATTCTCAAAAAATCAAAAAAACAAAATATAAAACCATAACCATAAAACGTTGCTTTAAAAAGATATTTTAAGAATTTTCTAAGGGCTATTATAAATTGAATTCTTTGAAAATATTTTTTTAAAAATGAATTCCTTGAAAATATGTATCTAAGGTCCTTGGTCCTTAAAAAAATTCACGTTTATTCTTGGTCCTTGGAAAAGTATTCGTAAAAAAATCAAGTTTATACTTGGTCCTTAAAAAATCCACGTTTATACTTGATCCTTAAAAAAATCCACGTTTATCCTTGGTCCTTAAAAAATCCACGTTTATCCTTGGTCCTTGGAAAGGTATTCTTAAAAAAATCCACGTTTATCCTTGGTCCTTTAAACATCCACGTTTATTCTTGGTCCTTGAATTTTTTTCTTAGAAAAATCCACGTTTATTCTTGGTCCTTGGAAAAGCATTCTTAGAAAAATCCACGTTTATCCTTGGTCCTAAAAAAAATTCACGATTATTCTTGTTCCTTGGAAAAGTATTCTTAAAAAATCCACGTTTATCCTTGGTCCTTAAAAAATCCACGTGTATCCTTGTTCCTTGGAAAAGTATTCTTAAAAAAATCCACGTTCATCCTTGATCCTTAAAAAATCCACATTTATTCTTGGTCCTTGGAAAAGTATTCTTAAAAAAATCCAATTGGTCCTTAAAAATCCACGTTTATTGTTGGTCCTTGGAAAAGTATCTTAAAAAAATCCACGCTTATCCTTGGTCCTGGAAAAAAATATTCTTTAAAAAATCCTTGAAAAAATATTCTTAAAAAATTCCAGGTTTATCCTTGGTCCTTGGAAAAGTATTCTTAAAATATCCACGTTTATCCATGGTCCTTAAAAAATATTCTTAAACACGTTTATCCTTGGTCTTTAAAAAATCATTCTTAAAAAATTGCACGTTTGTCCTTGGTCCTTGAAAAAAATTTTCTTAAAAAAAAACCTTGAAAAAGTATCTTAAAAATAATTCACGCTTATCCTTGGTCCTTGAAAAAATATTCTTAAAAAAAACCTTGAAAAAGTATCTTAAAAAAATCCACGCTTATCCTTGGTCCTTGAAAAAATATTCTTAAAAAAATCCACGTTTATTCTTGGTCCTTGAAAACATATTCTTAAAAAATCCACGTTTATCCTTGATCCTTGCAAAAAATATCCTTTAAAAAATCCACGTTTATCCTTGGTCCTTAAAAAAATATTCTTAAAAAAATCCACGTTTATTCTTGGTCTTTGGAAAAGTATTCTTGAAAAAATCCACATTTATCCTTGGTCCTTGAAAAAATATTCTTTAAAAAATTCACGTTTATCCTTGCTCTTTGATCCAATTTTATCCTCGCTCTTTGAAGAAATAATTTTTAAGAAAATCAAAGTTTATTGGTCCTTGAAAAAATAATTTGAAAAAAATTCACGGTTAACCTTGCTTTTTGAAGAAAAAAAGAAAAAAAAAGAAAATCCTAGTTTATTAGTCCTTGAAAATATTAATAATTGTTTTTTTTTAATATTCCACGTTTGTTGTCCT